CGATTTACAGAACAGACATGAATGTGTCAATTTAGATAAAAATTTTAGATGTAGAAACACTAATTATGCTAATAGGGAGTTATTTGGAACCCCGGTAGCAAGTAATATTTTTAGTACTTTTTCGTTCTCCAACTGGTACTTTTTGAGTTTTCTATGATATTAAAATCGAAACATGAATATAATAATAAATAGACTTTTAGTTAGGTACATTTTCCTTCTTCACTGGTACTTTTTTGAGTTTTCTTTAAAATTAAATCTAGATTCTAGAAATATGAAATTAAGCATGTAGGGCCCTGAGTAAATGAGAACTTATAAAATGGGATTTTTGGTACTTTTTCGTTCTTCAAAAGCTACTTTTTGAATTCTCTATGATATTGAACCTAGAAATATGAAATTAAGCATTTGGAGCCCGGATTAAGAAAGAACATATAAACGGTGACTTTTTGATACTTTTTCGTTCTTTAACTGGTAATTTTTGAGTTTGCTATAATATTAAACCCAGAAATTTTAAATCAATCATGTAGAGTCCGGAGTAAATGCGAACATATAAAATTTTACCTTTTGGTAATTTTTTCGTTCTTCAACTGGTACTGGTATTTTATTATAATGAACCTAGAAACAGGAAAGTATGCAATCAGGGACTTAAGTGAATGGAAATTTAAAATGGAGTATTTATTATCTGGTACTTTTTCCTTATTTAACTGGTACTTTTTGGATTTTCTATAATATTAAACTTAGGAACATGAAATTAAATAAAAGAAGTCTACTTTGGTACTTTTTCGGACTTCAACTGGTACTTTATGAGTTTTCTAAAATATTGAATATATGTAAAATTAAAAAATTTAACACGCAGTATCCTGATTGAACGAAAATTTAAAAAAGGACACTTTTTGGTAATCATTTTTTCTTTTACTAATACTTTTAGAATTTTCTATAATATTAAACCTAAACATAAAATTGGACACGCAGCTTCCTGAATGCATAAAAATCTGTATGCGAAGAATTTCTGGTTGCATCATGCATCATTCTGATTCAATGAAAATCTAAAATCAAACTTATACAATAATAATATTTATTTTATTCCATTACGATGAGGGTAGCTAAGCACACTGGGTATAGCTAGTTTCATTTCATAAAGAAATTACCGCTAAAATATATAAATATAATATAGAATAGTCTGCCTTTAGAGTTATGAGTTTTTACACACTCTAATAATGTTTTCAAATTGAAAATGTTGGAATATTTTCAACTATATTTATGTACTCGGTTTTAAAACGAAAAAAGTTATGCAAATTCGTTTTTAATCGAGAAATTTACTCGGATTCAGTTTACAGAACAGACAGAACTATGTAATATTACTTTGGCCAAATTGGCTTTTTTATTACTGAATAAATAAATAAAATGTCTTTTTAGTACACTACCGTTACCGCTAAAATACCATTACCAAAATATACCGTTTCATAACGGTTGCTATCATTGTTTATAGGTCTTCTTATAAACCTTCAGCGAAAGATCTTCTAATAGGCCTTCAACGGAAGACCGTTTAATAGGCCTTTTTGGGTAAACCTTCTATCAGCCCCCTAACACAGCGTTTTGAGAATTTGTTGCGATTGCAGAGGGGTAATGCGTTGTACGCAAAATATATGACTTGAAATCATTGTGAAAGTACTAAAATAAAGTACTAAAATCAGATGTCCAGCTTTTGTGAAAGTTGTGCATGAAGAGATATATAAATTATGTATTTTACAATGCAGCGGGGCATAGACTATCATATTTTATTGTTATAAATTATATACAAAATCCCACTAAAAAGTCTCTCTGAAAATTTTAAAATTAACCGCATTTGAGAACCGGCTTACAGTCGATTTTAAGCCGTCGTCGATATTTTTAGTGTCAGCCGCAGCCGCCGTTAATATTTGTCGGCGCTGGGCTCTGCTGGCCGTCGAAGAAATAATGCAAATTTCAAAATTGAATTTTAAAAAAATATTATTATATAATATTAATATAAAGTTCTTTTTATTTATTGAAGACTGGGTAAGTATATTAAATATAAATTTGTTTATTAATACATATTAATAAAAATATTTTACAGATTAATTAAAATGACTAATGAGAAGGATGATATTCTTGAAGAATTATTAAATTTAATAGAAGCCGCCATTGAAACTGGAGATTTAGACGACAGAGAAGACGTGGAAATAATATTGGGTTTAATAGAATGTTGAGAAATTGCAAATAATATGCCAATCAAAGTAAATTTATAAAGTAGACTCATTTGAACAGCTGACTATTTTTTTTAAACTTGCTATTTGTGGGCTTACTTGTCAAAAATGTTTATGTTGCCATATTTGTTTTAATTTTAACGCGTGCTTTTGTACAAATTTCTGAGTAATTTGTTGTATTTAATGTGAAAAAGTGTATTTTAGGTGTATAATATTTTTAAAAATGTTCTAATTTTTAAAAAATAAAGAAAACTCTGTGACTTTTAATATAAATAACAACATATTTTTGGAAAGCGCACCAATAATGCCATATTTTCCATTAATAATTGGTTCAATTTTGTAAACAAATTTTGACAGTTGAGTATTTCGAACAAAAACAAATTGCCTGTGGTTTTTGTAGACGTTTGTTGTACAACAACTCGTGTCGCTACTTTATTAATTTACTTTGATGCCAATTAAGAAAAGGCGTGTTACTCAAAAGAATTTTATTAAAAAAAATATGAGACTAAATAGATAATTAACTTCTAATTTATATTGTAATCAGTTTTATTCATGTAATTTGTTCTTTTCTCTCGAATGAATCGTAAGTTTTAAAAATTGTTCAATACAAAACTGCTCTAACTGGAAACGTTACGTTAACAGAAGCATCCCTCTCAATGTACTATCAATATCATCTACTATATTTAAAATTATCAATATTTATTATGTAATAATGATTATTGAAATAATTTAAATTAATGCAGCTTTAAAAATTTCAATTGCGAGAAGTACCATAGTTTAGGCTCAAACACAACTTCTTTTGCGTACATTCAAGTGTAATGTGTTTATTATATCTTTTTAATTTCAAATCAGGAATCCTGATTCAGGATCTCGTGCAATCTACAAATGTTCATGTTGTTCATAATTAATTATTAGCAAGCAATTCTACTAAATCTTTTGCCCACATCAAAGATACAAGCCGAGACGGCTCAAATCGGCGGCGGCTGGCCGCCGGTAATATTTTGCAAGCCGCGCCGCCGCCGACTTCTTTCGGCTCAAAAGCTAAGCCGGCTTAAACGTAGCCGCTGATAAAGATTAGAATCACACATGTATTTCAGAACATAATTTCACCAAATTAAACGGAGTTGCCACTATTTTAAATTCTTATGGCAAATTAAAAAGAGTTGCCACACAATATTGTGCTAATATTAAAATAGTGAAAACTACTATAAATGTCCATTTTCTGCAGAAAAAAACTTATATAGA